CCTCCTGAGATGCCACAGCAGATGAGGAGGCAGGAAGGGACTGCAGGGAGCCAGACCTTGGAGGCAGAGGGCCTTGTACTCCTTCAAACTCATGAATTCAATCCCAAATATTTGTTGAGCTCCTCATGTGCTGGGAACTGTCCCAGACGCCAAGAGGAAAACCCACAGAAATCCCTGTCCTGTGGCACTCACCTTCTAGTGATGAGGCAGTGGGGACAGTGTTGGGGCCCAGTGTTGTTGCCCAGTCCTTTAATGCCCACCGTGTCCCATGCACCCCTAAGCCAGGCCCTCTGCTGAGAGCGTTTGCACCCACCTTTCTGGGGGTCTGCAGTGCTCTGTGAGTAAGGCACTGTTGTATGATTCCCATGTATTGAGGGTCCCAGGTGACGCCCCTGGCCAAAGGCTACCTGACCGATAGGGAGTGGCCAGATTCCAACCCAGCACTGCCTAACTGCAGAACCCCTCTCCTGCACTGTGCCAGCATCTTACCTGTGGCCTGGGGCAGATCCTACCCACCTCGCCCCTGTCCCGGCCTCAGTTTTCTGCTCTGTCAAGTGTGCAGTTGGAGCAGAGCCTTCCTCGGGCTACTTCTGACCCTGCCACGTCTGACCGGGTGAGACTCTGAGTGTTCTGGTAGGGGTTAGGGCGGCCTGTTCCCTGAGCCCAACTGCCACTCATTCCACCTGTGCTGACAAAGTGCCTACTGTGCGCCTCTGCCCAGCAGGGAGATACTCAGATGGGCACGACACCAGCCCTGCCTTCAGACTGTTCAGTCTTGGGGAACCAAAATGCTGTGACACACCTTGAATGTTGGCGGGAAGTGGCGCTGAGACCCATGAGAGTAGGGGGAGGGAGAGGGCGCTGCTCCCTGGGAAGGTGCCTGGAGGAGGGGCCTGGCAAAGATGGTCTTGGGACAAGGTGAGGTGGGGGAGCAGTGTCAGGGAGGAACTTGCCCGCTTTGGTAAAGGTTTGAAAGTGGGAACCATTGTTAAAAGGACAATGATTTGCCGGCTTAATCTGGAATTGAGGTTGGAGAGGCTGGCCAGCCTGAGAGCCACACCTTCCCTTTTGCTTGGCAGGTGAGCGTGTAAGGGGCGGGCAGACCTTCCCTCACCCCCTCCCCCAGCCACCCACAGCCTGGCACCCGAGAGGAAGCCCTGGCAGCTTTCAGAAAGCAGCTGGGTGGGACAGGAAGCTTCTGCCCTTACTGGCAGGCTTTTTTCCACTGTGCACAACTGAATGCGGAAAGAGAAGTGGCAGGAGGGCCAGGCCCCTCCCTGGGCAGGGCGCTATGCCCACGGGCACCCACCTGCACTCCCTTTCTATCCACCAGCTCTTCTGTGAGGCGGGTGTTCTCATTGTCCCTATTTCGCAGAGGGGGAGACTGAGGTTGGAAGAGCTGTAGTGATTTGACCAAAGCCACATGGCTTGTAAGAAGGCAGAGCCAAGATTCAAGCCCAGGTCCCTGCCCCGAAGCCAGCGTTAGGCCAGGGTGCATGGGGTGGAGTCAGTGAGGCGTCCTCTGGCCTTTCTTTCCACTTAGTTTAAAGTGGAAAGAAACACCTGGAGTTTGAAGGGGAGGAAAGGTTGAGAGGAGACCTGAGGGGTGTGTGTGTCGCTTGCCCTGGGGATGGGGTGTTTTAGGGCCTGCAGGTAGATATGAGTGCCGCAGGGCCCAATCCTGGGAGTGAAGCAGTGACAGAACTCAGTGGTCAGAGCAGTTTGCTGTACTGGGAGGCGAGGTGAGGGCGTCCTCATACCTGGAAATACAAAGTTCATGATCCCATTCTCCCTGGGAGGCCATGGGGACCCTTTGTTGGTGATAAGCTTACTGCTAGGTCTGGGCTGGGGGGGTTGTCAGTGGGTTCCACCAGTCCAGTACCTGATGGCAGTGCCTGTGGACAAAGCTTGTCCCACTTGTGAGTAGTACTGCCCAGGACACTAGTGCCCATTCTGTGCCCAGTCCCAGCAGGCTGGCCCTGCCATGACACACAGCCTTTGCTTTGCAGCAGTTGTCGGCTCAGGCCTGTGGTGCAGAGGGAAGCACTGTGTGTGTGTATGTGTGTGCGTGTTGGTGGGGAGGGGTCATCGAGCAGAGGAAAGCAGCACCTCTAATGCTCAGAAACTTTCGACCCTCTGAGTTAGGTCACTGACACAGCTCAGGCCTGGTGACTGCCTTGGGCCGTGGGACTACAGATGAGGAGACTGAGGCACAGGGAGATTAAGTGACTTGGCCAGAGGCATACAGCTAAGAAGTAGTAGATCTGGGATTGGAACCCTGGGACTGACTCCAGCAGTTAAGCTCTGAACCATTAGGGCTTCTGGCTGTAGCAGTGAGCTGGCTTTTATAAAGTGCTTTGTGTCCGTTATATTGTTTCTCCTCAGACCAGCTCTAGGGGAAAAGTAAGAATGTTGTTTCCATTTCACAGATGAGAACATGAGCTCAGAGAGGAGAAATAACTTGCTTTAATCAGTGGCTAACAGATGAGTGCCACCCCTTCCCACCAGCTGGGAGCTCCTTCAGGGGCAGGAGCACCTGGCTCAAAGCAGACCTCACCAAACGCAGTTTTGCATTTAAATGTGCAGGTGCTGCCCTGAGTGCTCCATCTGAGCTTCTCTTTTTCTCCCCAAGGTCTCTAGCAGGTGGGAATTACAGCTCCATTTCACAGACAGAGAAACTGAGACTCAGAGCTATAAGATGACTTGCCCAGAGTCACACAGCTGGAAAGGGGCAGAGCATGGCTGAGTCAGGCGGCAGGACTGGCCTGGATGAGGCGGGTCGCAAAGCTGGGAGGGCCTGGTAGAAAGGCTACAGCAAAGACTGACTGTACCAGCTGCCGGCGAGATGTAGAGAGCTGGACCGCTTGTGCGTGCTGGGGGACGCAAAACAGTACAGCCGTGCTGGAAAACGGTACAGCCGTGCTGGAAAACGATCTGGCACTTCTCTTCTAGAGTTCAGTGTAGATTTACCATTCAACTCAGCAATGGTGCTCTTGCCTGTCTAGAGAAATGAAAACCTATGGTGCTACAAAAACCCATACACAAATGTTTATAGCAGCTCTATTCATAATCCTCAAAAATGGGAAACAACCCAAATGTCCTTCCGTGAGTGAATGCATAAACAAGCTGGAACACCTCTTCCATGGAATAGTGCTCGGCAATAAACAGGAAAGGACTGTTGATTCACACAACAACTTGGGCGAATCTCAACAGGTTATGCTGAACGAAAGACGCCAGTCTCAAAGGTTATATACTTTACGATTCCATTTATGGAACATATTTGAAAAAACAAAAACAAAACTGTAGTGACAGAACAGGTCAGTGGTTGCCAGTGGTGAGGGGAGGATGTGACTGGGACAGCACCAGGGAGTTTTGGGGGTGCCGGAACTGCCCTGTGTCCTGATTTGGAGGTGGTGGCTGTGCATGCTAAAATTCATATACCTGCACAACAAAGAAAGGTCGTTTTTGCTGTATGTATGAAAACAAAAGGCCAGAGGATAGGTGGCAAATGGAAGGGCAAGGGCCGGGCCACATCTGACACGTCCTTTGCTGGGGGATGGGCGTGGGGCCGAGCTCTATGCTCTTGTCACCAGCGTCTTGCTGGCTCTCGTGGCAGCCCTGCCTGGCAGCGTGAGGGACACCACCGGGCTAATTATAGCTTCTATCTGGATTCCCACAAAGGGGGTGGCAGGAGGCTGAGGTATTGGGACAGCACCGGCCATCCAGGAGTGATGCGAGGAAAGGTCAGACCCTGGCTTCTATGGCAACACTGGGGGCGTGAGGCTGCCTTCAGGATCACCACCTGCCACGTCGCATTATCTGGAGTGTGTTGGGGGGGAGGGGGAAGGGTATAGCCACCCCCATTTTACAGATGAGGAACTAGGTCCAAGGAGCTTAGGGGGGCCATATGGCCTAGATGTGGCACTCGCTAAAGACCTGCAGTATTTGCTGTCATTTCCAAGCTGATATAAGTACCTTCCCAGTTTATCTATTTCAAAGCCACATTATTCACATACCCCACAGCTTGATTCTCTGTTCTGATGTTTATTTGTTTGGGTGCTTTATTTTGTTTTAAGACACTAGCAGGCTTGAAAATGGGAGGGGACAGTTCTGTGATCCTGGGGACACTTCCACACTCTGCCTCTGGCAGCTCTGGGGCTCAGAGGATGAGATGAGATTTGCCTGGGGCCACATCAGCACTAAGACGGCAGGGCCCCCTGGCTGAGGGACAGGCAACTTCTGAGCCTTGTCTGTAAATAGGGATAGTTTTCCTTGCCTTGCCAGAGGGTGTTTGCGAGTGTGAATGAGCTGCTGGAATACAGGAGGCGCCGGTGGGGCCCGTGGTGGGGTGGGGGCACTACTGTTCATCAGTAGGTCTTCTGCCAAACCTCCTGGAGCTTGGTTTCCTCATCTATAGGATGGGCGTAAACAGTACCCATCTTGCAGTGATTAAAGGAGCCCAGAGCCACTCCGGGCCGCCCCAAGCCTTTACGTCCTCTGCAGTCCTTTCCCATTTACACTCCTGTCTCCTCTGCATAGACTGTGTGCTGACTGCAGACCAGGACGGACACTTAGCTCATCTCTGCATCTCCATCACCCAGCGCAGTGCCTGGCACACAGTAGGTGCTCAAGATTTGGCCCGAGATGTTGCTGGGAGGAGATCGGGGCTTGGGAGCTGTGGAGGATTGTGGACGGACCTGGGGTGGGGGAAGGGACTGGGGGGCACCCACAGGGCGCTGCCAACACTCTTCCCATCCTTCCTTTGGTTCAGCTGGGTCCCGTGGTCACCCCTCCCCTCCCTTCAGTCCTGGCAAGTTTGAAGGAGGTCATCCAGGAGATAAGAGGAGGGAGAGAGGACTTACTGGGTAGCAGGGGTTATCTGGGCAGAACTTCAGTGGGGCCCCCAGGAAGCTTGGGATGTGGTCTCCATCCAGAGCTGTCGGTAAGGCTCCATCCAGCTTGGTCATATTAGGTGTGCCATGTCCACTTAGGCCAGATGGGCTTGCAGAGCTGGAAGGGCCTTAGGAGTATCTGCCCCAACCCATTTTACAGATGAGGAAGCTGAGGCCAGCTGGGGCTCCACCTGCTGCCCCAGCCTTATGGAGAGGCCTCTGCAGGCCCTGGGGTAAGGTCTGGCCTCGCCCTACTGACAGGACCCTTCCCCTGTGGTCTGGAAGCTGGGCAGGAACAGTGGCCTGAGGCCGGTGCCTCCCCTCAGCCCTTCTGCAGAGGCCAGGCTCAAGGACACGATGGCAGCCAAGCAGCCTCCACCTCTCATGAAGAAGCACAGCCAGACGGACCTCGTGAGCCGCCTGAAGACCCGGAAGATCCTCGGTGTGGGCGGGGAGGACGACGACGGGGAGGTGCACCGGTCCAAGGTGGGCTGCTGAGGAAGGGCCTTGAGGTTCCTGTGCCTGGGGGTCTGCCTCTGAGCACCAATTTGGGGGCAGGGACAGGTCTGGCCCACCATTTGGGGAGAAGAGTAGCTGAGGCCTATATAGCTACAGGGGCCCTCGGACTTAGCTCACTTCTCAAGAAACTTAATGGACATATCAGGGGAATAATAATAATGAAAACAGATCATTAGAATTAATTGAGGGCTTATTATGTGACAGGTATTGACCAACTACTTTATGAGCATTATTCAATCTTTCTGCTGCTAGCCTGGGAGACATAGATACAACTATTAACCCATTTTATAGTTGAGGAAACTGAGGCTCAGAGAAGTTAGGCAGTTTTCCCGAGGCCACACCAGTAAGTGGCGAAACCATGCTTCAGGTCTCATCTGCAGACCCATGAGCTTTCATTTGTGGCCACTATAACCCCGGTGTCAAGGGGAGGCCAGGAGAGCAGGCAGCCTCAGTGTGACCCAGACCCATGAGCTTTCATTTGTGGCCACTATAACCCCGGTGTCAAGGGGAGGCCAGGAGAGCGGGCAGACTCAGTGTGACCAAAGGGGAGGCCAGGAGAGCAGGCAGCCTCAGTGTGACCCTCCTAGCCAGGGGACCCTTTGGCTAAGAAGAGATACATAGGTGGGTCCCTGGGCATGCGTGGGGGCTCGGGGGTAGGGGGTTGCTGAGGATGTTGAGAGCTGTCCTCACCCCAGTGCCTCTGAACCCCCATGTCCACAGATCAGCCAGGTCTTGGGCAATGAAATCAAGTTTGCTGTTCGGGAGCCTTTGGGGCTCAGGTGAGCATTTACCTGAGTTTCTTTGGGTGCGGGAAGGATTGTGGGCGTGAGGGTGAGAAGCATAAGACCCCACCTCATTTGGCCTTGCCCCGGTGTGGTCTTGCCCTTGATTCCATCCCATCTCATCATCTCCCCACAAACCAACCATTCTGGGGCATCTGGGCTGGAAAGGGGAGGGTCCCCTGGGGCCTGGCTGTGACTGTCCTCTCCACGCCTCCTCAGGGTCTGGCAGTTTGTTTCTGCTGTGCTCTTCTCCGGCATTGCCATCATGGTGAGCCCCTGCCACTTCCCGGGCCCTTGCCCTGGGTGAGGCTTCCCCGGCCCTCTCCACCTTGCCCGGGCCCTGGCTGCCTCTCCCACACTGCCATCATGCTGAGGCCCCACCTGTCATGCTCTCTGACTGCCTCCATGGGTCTGGCTCCTGACACATCCTTGCCGTGCCCTGCCCTGGAACAGCCTACATTCTGTGGTCCTTGGCCCTTGCTCCTTGCCCCAGGAGCCCAGAGCCTTTATCCTGGCATGGAGAGGTAGCAGGGGCAATCAAGGTCCCCACCCTGGACTGCCACAAGGACCCTGCTCCTACTCCTGGGGAAGGAAGGAGATGTCCACGAGAGTCTCAACAGTGATGCCCCCCAACCCTAACCCAGACCTCTGAGCCCCCTCCCGCTGTTCACAGGCCCTCGCCTTCCCTGACCAGCTCTACGATGCAGTCTTTGATGGAGCCGAGGTGACCAGCAAGACCCCCATCCGCCTCTATGGTGGGGCCCTCCTCAGTGAGTATTGCTGGGGCAGACTCTGGAGGAGGTGATGAGCAGCTGGGGGACCCAACAGGGACTAAGAGAGGAACACTGGAAGCCTTCCTCCATGCTGGGGCTTCCCTTCCTTTCTCTGGCTGGGTGCTGCGGCCCCGCCTCCTTCTTCTGAAGAGTCTGTCCCTGCTGAGTGTGTGTTGCCATCTTGTGGTTATTGGTGGGATGCACTCAGTGGATTGGGACTCTTGTCTGCCACCATCTGGGACAAGCACTCAGTAATGCCTGATGTGTGTTAGTGCACTGCCCTGGGCATTGGAGTACAGAGATGAATGAGGCCCAGACCCTAGCCTCCAGGGTCTCACAGCCTAGAAGGGGAAGCAGAGTCTATGCAGTGTCTGCAAACCCCTCACTCCTGCTCCATCTTTATCCTCAGAGAATTTGAATCACTTCTGTTTCCTCTCTAATCTGAGTTGCATGCAGTGGCTGTTAGGAAGTTGAATTACAGTTTTGAAGGCTCAGCATAGGTAGTGTCCCTCCCCTCCTCTAAAGCATTCTATGGCTCCCTATTGCCTGCAGAATACAGTCCCAACTCCTCTGCCTGACACTGAGGGTCCTCTGTGGGATGGATCTAGCCTGCCTTCCCATGCCTCTCTCCCCTACATCCCATGGTGGGCCCTGAACTCCAGCCACACCTGGTGATGCCCACTCCCCAGTTTTAGATGACCTCTGTGACTTTGCACATGCAATTTCCCCAGTCTTGTGCCAATTGTTCTTGTTCAACCTTCAGGGGCAGCTCAAATACCTCTGGGGCAGGAGGTGGTGGAGGTTGGGCGGTACTTCATTCACACAGTGGGAGAGCTAGAGTTATGGAGTCGGGTTGCTGAAATAAAATGAGGACACCTCTGGTGACATATCTGGCACTTAGAGCCAGCAGATGCTGGACAAGCTGGGCCTGCTAGAGGTGGAGCCATGATTCTTCCACTAAAAAATTATGCTCCGTCCCTCTCCTCCTGGGGGGTTTCTTAGAGCAATTCCTTAATGGACTCAGGTTTTCTGTTTCCAGGAGCCCATTGGGAAAGAAGTCACAATTGTGGGGCCAGGTGACCCATAATTCCAAGACTCCATCAATGCAGAATCATCATGGCAGAACTGGATACAGGCAGGGGGCCCAGAGCTCAAGCTCCCATTTTACAGATGGAGAGACTGAGTCCCAGGGGAGGTGACTTGCCTGGTGTCCCAAGCAGCAGAGTTGAAGCTGGGGGGAATGGCACAGGGGACAGATTACTCTGATTTGAGGAGTGTGAGTAGGGGCCATGGAAGTGGAGGTCCAGGACCCTGGCTGTCTTGCAGCAGTGGCCAAAGGGAGGAGGAACAGGCTCTTCCCCTGCCCCGAGGGAATCAGGCTGTCCCATTCCCTGGTCCCCTCTTTGTCCCCCCCCCCCAGGCATCTCCCTAATCATGTGGAACGCCCTCTACACGGCTGAGAAGGTCATCATCCGATGGACTCTGCTCACTGAGGCCTGCTACTTCGGGGTCCAGTTCTTGGGTGAGTCCTGAGTGGACAGTGAGAGAGGCTGAGGGGGCTGCGGATGGGCAGCTCTGCCCCGGACCTTCCAGCTCTAGCCACTTAGGTTTGCAGGAAGTGATGAAAACCTGTCGGAGGGAGGTAGGGAGGGGACAGAGGGGTAGGGACTCAGGCAGCTGTGTTTCCCTGAGCCTGCACACCTGTGCACACACACCTAACACACCTGCGTCTTCCTGAATGCACAGCCTTGTACACTCCCCCCCACACACGTGCAGCCTCCCACACCCATTGCTCAGTTGTGCACCTGTGTAACAACACATGCTCAATCTTGCCCGCATGCTCTGCCCTGGCACCTGCTACATGGGGGATATCAGAACAGAAGTGTCTGTGGGGTTGGCAGGGGCACAGCTCAGGTCCTGCGCCTCCCAGCTGGCAGGACCCCTGGGCTCAGAACAAAGGCAGCGAGGCGGCCACCCCAGGGCTCCTGGCTCAGTGCCGCATCCCGTGGTGGGGGGTGAGGGCACCTCCCCTCCTCTGACCTCTGTCCCCTTCCCTGCCTTTCTCCCGCAGTGGTCACTGCCACGCTAGCTGAGACAGGCCTCATGTCCCTGGGGATCCTGTTGCTCCTGGCCAGCCGCCTCCTCTTTGTTGCCATCAGCATTTACTACTATTACCAAGTCGGCCGGAGACCTAAGAAAGTCTAGTCGCCCACTGGACCAGGGGACCCTGCCCTGCCCAGCCCTGCCCTGGGCTGGTAGCGGTGGCGGCCTCCCTTTCCTCCTGAGACCCCCAGATGCTGTGATCTCCTGGGCTTTCAGGTTTGAGATGCCGGTTTAGGGAGAGACAGGGGCCTCTGAACCCCTTTTCTTTACCCCACACCGTGACACCTCCTTTTCTTGGGTCTCGTGGCCTCTAGATCCCCTTGATAGACACTGTCTGAAGAGCTCTAGTCATGGGGGGATTGAGCTCAGTCAAGGTTCCAGCCTCTTCTGCCAGGAAGCTCTCCTTTCTTTTGAAAGAGGCTGTGGACCACTCCCCACCCTGCTCCCTGTACCTGCAGCCAACCTAGTGGCCAAGCAACTAAACTTGGCTTCCCTATATGTCTGGAAAACCTGGGAACTTGACCTGTGCCCTTATCCCTCCCACATGCAGGCCCCCTCTGCACCCCAAAGACACACACACAGACACACACACGCGTGCGCGCACACGCGCCTCCCACAGCCCAGCTGTGGGGGACAGGCCGGGTGGACTGTGCTGAGTCGGCACTTGCTCTTCTAGCCTTCCTGTGAGCTGGCAGCCCTGCCCCTCTTCCAGGGCTGTCACCACACCAGGCCCCAGGAAGCCCCTCAACTGGCGTGGGTTCAGAGTCTGCCAGCAGTCACAACCACTGCCCCCACCCCAACTAAGACAAATGGGCACGCAGCCCCGGATGGAGGCCACCCAAAAGTGATGGGGTTTGGAGATGAGGAAGGAAAGAAAATCTGTGGCATGTCCTTGTCCCTTGGCATGTCCTCCAAGGCCTGATGTCCACCTGGCTCAGCCCCTCCCCTCCAGGGTGCTGCCCTCTGGACCTCCAGCCTGGGCCGCCCTCAGGGCCTGGCTGAGTAGGACTGGGTGCCCCTTAAACTCAGCAGGGGAAATAAATAGCTCGGCAGGCCACCTGCTCTCATTTGCCCCTCCCCGGCTGATGCCCTGGAGAAGGTTGACGATGGGCTCCCTCGGAGCTGAAGTCCCCTGTCCCGCCCCTCCCCACAGGCCTGCCAGCCTGTGCTGTGCGCCTCACCTTCTCCTTACTCCGGACGCCCCCTTCCCTCCAGCACACAGGTGCTCACACCAGGAATGGCAGCCCCTGTGTCCTGGAGACAGATGTGGAGAGAGAAGAAGCCACAGGCCCTGAACTCGCTCCCCTTTTGGAATTGAAGGTGGAGTAGGTGGGGGTGAGTGAGGTGGGCATAGGTGCAGCTGGCTCTGGCTGCTGCGACCAGGTGGGCTCAGTTGTCCCTGTAGCCATGTGCCCAGTGACACAGCCTGTGCCCAGCAGTGGTGCCACCCCCACTGTTAGACAGCTGGGGAGTATGCCCAGTGGGTGCCCAAGGCCCTGCTGCTGGTAACCGTGGCTGGGCCAGTTGGGATCCTGGACTCAGAAAAGGGCCCTGCTCTTTCCTGGTGTTCACCTCTTGCCACTTAAGTTTGTGCCTCTCCCTAGAAGTCCACCTCCCTGCTGCCAAGCCCTGGGAGGCCAGGAGTTTATTGTCGCCTGCTGGAGGCAGTGTTGCTGGTGGGTAGTGCCCCCAGGCCAAAGCCTCAGTCCACCTCTGAGCCAGGCTGTTGAAGGCCTGGCTAGTCCTCCAGTGGGTGATGGTTGATTTGTCCTCCAATAACTACTGGGCATGGCATGGAGATTCCACCCAGGAAGACAAAGGACAAGCTTTGGAGCATCTGCTGGGACTGAGACCGCCCATCTTGCACATCTAGCTGTGGGGC